AACTGGGAGCTATCAATTACCATCACCGTGTGCTTTTAATCAAGAGGATCTTGTCACTTATCTCAAAGTATGAACGACAAAGTATGAATACAATTGCAGGTGACCATGGACTTAGTCTTATATTCTAATTTCTTTTGGCATTTTGAGTTGTAAGCTTCTTTTCAAACATTAGTTTACCTGCATTTTCTTTCTTTCTAATACAGAAGACGAAGCTTGCTTCCCTGGCAGTCCATGCACCTTGGGAGTTCCATCCAGTGTGGGAGATCGACTGTCCCCAGGCTGTTTGGGGAGATAGATCTTGGAAATTTAAAAACAAAAGGTTACAAGGAGGAAGAGGAAATATTTAAATACACATGGAAAAGGGTAAAGTGAAGATGATATTAAATTCAAATGGAACACAGTCAGTGTTACTGAGTGTACACCCTCATTTAGTCTGTGAATGACACCAAGCTGAGTAGTACAGCTGATACACTGGAGGGAAGGGATGCCATCCAGAGGGACCTTGGCAGACTTTAGGAACGGGCCTATGTTAACCTCGTGAGGTTCTACAAGGCCAAGTGCCAGGTCCTGTACCTAGGTCAGGGTAATCCCCAATATCAATACAGACTGGGGGATGAATGGATTGAGAGCAGCCGTGCCGAGGAGGACTTGGGAGTACCGGTGGATGAAAAACCAGACATGAGCCAGCAGTGTGTGCTTGAGGCCCAGAAAGCCAGCTGTATCCCGGCCTGTGTAAAAAAAGTGCGGCCACCAGATAGAGGGACGTGATTCTCCCGCTCTGCTCTACTCTGCTCTCGGACGACCCCACCTGGAGTAGATCTGGGTTCCCCCGCACAAGACATGGACCTGTTAGAGCAGATCCAGAGGAGGGCCACAAAAATGATCAGATGGCTAGAACACTGCTCCTTCGATAACAGGTGGAGAGAGTTGGGGTTGTTCAAACTGGAGAAAAGGTGGCTCTCAGAAAACTTTACTGTGGCCTTCTAAAAGTGTGATCATTTATTGGCTGCCATACTACTTATCAGACTCACAATTTCCTTCTTTTTTCAGATTTGGAAGGAAAAAGAGGAAAGGCATCTTCATCTTCAAATATATTTGTTACAAAGCAGTACGAGTAGCTTAACGATCACATCTCTACAACTTAGATACCTAAGTTTGAGAGGTTATATCCCACTCATGCCTACAAAGCTAAAGGGATTCTCTCATTCGAGCACAACAGTTGAAGAGAGTGCAAGTCTGTACAGCACTTTGTAACAAATCAGGCTTGAGCAATGACTGTGCCTTTTGCTGCTCATTCCTCCCGTGTCAGTGCAATTTATTGCCTTTTAAACCACTAATATTCATAGTGAAACCAAACCAAGAACAAAAAATGTAAGTTTACTTACTTCAGACTGCTTTCTGACAGCAGGAGTAAATGAGGATTTCTGAGTTCCTAGCCTGTTTGTCCTGTTATCAGAAGCAGCTACCAGATCAGGAAACTCCTCAGCATCCTAAACAAATAAACAAGACGATTTTATAAGAACTAACGAGTCTGTATTCTCAAAACTGATTTTCCCACATTCAATTGATTTTCTCTCTGCTTATCAAACATTCACCGTAATTTGTTTCACTGTACAAGAATTCAGAAGCCAAGTGCAGTGACACCAACTACAACCAGCACTAGGATGATTAAGTCACATATGTGGAAGCTAATTCAGGTCTGAAAGAGCTTACAAGAGAAATGCCTCCATCAGCAGCTTGTTATTGGTGTCAGCTGGTACAAATAATCAGAGGTAAACGGCTCCTAAAGGAGTGGTTTTCAGATTATTTAACAGCCTTGCAAACAACTTCACTCTTCGTCCAGTACAGTCTCCCACTGTGCCTTGCTGCCTTAAACATATGACTGGTGAAGAACAAAAAGGGCAGGCAAAAGGGTAATAACTCTTGACTACAGTATGGAAATAAACAGATAAACCACTCAAGTGATAATGTAGGCTCACAGAGACAAGAGTAAATTTCATTAGCCTGGGATACTTAATCCGGAGTCTGGATAATGCAAGTGCAGATGGGCTGGAGCTTGCTCTACACTGCTCACCTCATCCGCTATCTCAATCGTAATGATCCTGATCCACTAGCCTGGTTTTCATTCAAGTGCTTCTCCTTCCACGTTCCAAGCGGCCTTTTTAGCTCTGATACAATACTGCTGAACACATCAACACTTCTCCTACGGCCTGAAAAGCTTCATTTAATCAGTCCGAGCTAGAAAGCTCTAGCATAAGGACAGGCACGCCTCACCCAGTGAAAAGAAGTTTGGAAGTATGCCGAAAGATGACTGCAAGAACGGGAAAACACAAACACATTCTTCCAGCTTAGGGACATCTAGAACCAGAGGTAGTTCCTCCACATTTAAATAGCCCTCACTAGAGTACTTGTTTATTTCAGTCTGTCCAATCACTTCTGGAACTGCAATAGGTGTCTGTCGTTTGCAACTTCCTGTAGCAAAATGAACTGAAGTCTAGCACTCAGTGTGACATTACACCTCCTTATGTTTGCTCAGTCATTCCTCGTGCCATTCCAGGACAAGGAACCACACAGTGAGAAGAACACGTAGACACAGTTCTGCTCCATGTTCCATGTTAAAATGTGCAGAACAGGAGCCAGCCAGGAAGGCTGCTTTATGCTGTCATTTCAGACTGACCATTACGTACGCTAGATCAAACATATACATCAACACACGTACACGGTGCTGTACAAGACTGGGCTTGCAACTAAGCACTGTTAAACCACAGACCATACAGCAATTCTCTCATGTGGGAGAGTCTGAAGCCTTCACGATAATGATTACACAACAGTATCAAAATACTAATAAGCATATAACAGCTATGCGATTTAAAAAAAAAAAAAGCAATTAGCAATCAGGAATGTAAGCAGTGACAACTGTGTTACACAGAAATTGCTTCCAGATGTGAGAGGGGTAGAACTGTAATACCAGTAACAGTCTTTATAATTATGGCACGCTATGGTACGTAGTTGTTGTGGTTTAACTCTGTCTAGC